TTTTTTTTTCTAGTTATTCTGGAAACTGTTTGATGCCACATTTTTTAAGAGCACCGATTAGTGTCGTCGATGGTTAGGCTGAGCAAAGGCTATCTCAAACGACACTGCACCGCTGTCACACTCTGTTGCGGTTTAGCCTTTCTCATCGAAAGAAGACACACACTTCGGACACCTCATGGCTTTAATTACTAAGGCTATACGTTGAGAAGAAATTAAGACAGGTTAGCTGTCGTCTGGCAGATCGTTTCTTGTAGCGAATGATTATGCCGAAGCATCCCACAACACCCAAAAGATATCAAAAAATTCTGTTTGAATTCCACACCACGATCGGACTTCCCCATTCGGTTTCCCGTCATTGTTCGACAGACTACACATAGCCACCTGTAATAATAAACACAGAGCCACCTGTGATAATAAGAGATTAATGCGCACCACACAACCTTGCGACGTCAGTGGCCTAGCTCTAACGATGTGGTGGTTATCAAAGCCGGAACTCAGTCCCTGGAAGTCCTCTCTACTTCTCCGAATTTTAGCTGAATCAAAGAAATAACAAAAAATTTATCGGGAAGCAACTGAAGTGGCCCAGTAATTTCGAATCGACCTGATACTTTCTCCTGTGGCGTACATAATCGAAGGAGCGTTATTCGTTCTGAAATACCTTCCTAGTACGTCATGTGCTGCTCGATCTCATTGGTTCACCAACCAACTTGATGCGAGGGAAGTTCAGTTCCTCTAGGTAAGGTCAGAGGTGCACGACGATGCCTGTGGTTAGGCTTAGGCTTGGACTTGCTACGAACAAATCGAGAGGATACTAATCAGAAGTGGCCTGACCTTAAGAGGGGAACTGATATACATCTGGAGCATTAGATTTTACCGCTTAACCCACAGCATTTGGGTGCTGCCACAAATCATTCGAAAGAGTGGATGCAGAGGGAAGTCAAAAGAAAAATACATTTGTATATTGACATCAAAACTTGTAGACCAAGGCTGTCTCGATTTTGCTACAGCAAATTGTTAATGCCAACAGATCTCTAGAGTAATATTTAGCAACTCAAACCGCCGACTTGAGCAACACCAGCCTATTCTAAACCATGAAAAACTTCCTAATAATTTAGCACTCCTCACCTGCATCTCGATGTGCCGAGGATTATCGATAAATTTCTCAACGAGCATACGATCATCTCCAAATGAAGACTTCGCCTCTTGCTTGGAAAGCCTAAATAACCGCTCTCATTACTTACAACAAATCAGGACACACTGATCGAACGTATCCCGTTACCTGAATCCTTCACGGGCCTCCTTGTCATTCCAAGCTATACGCATTCCCTTTCCACCACCTCCTGCCGAAGCTTTGATCATAACCGGATACCCAATGTCGTTGGCAACCTATACAAGAAAACCGACTGTTAAACATTGTTACTTTTCTTGATGTGTATCACGACGTAGTCGTCTCAATGGTTGTCAAATTGTCTCACAACGGTCTTAAACACACCTAGCACCTGAATCATTTCTAATTGACGATAGCGTGGAACGCTAGCGACCTCACCTTGATTGCGATTCCTGTAGCGGGTAATGCCGCGTGAGACGGCACAGTGACCATGGCATGATCACATACAGTAGCGGTCAAAAGTTTGGAAACTTCTCAATTCCAAAGCGAATTCGGCAAAATAGCTCTCGAATCTACATGATAAATTAGTTATTCGATGAGTAGCTGTGAATTTCTATGTTAGCGTCGTTTTTATTGACATGGAGTTGACTTATAAAATAATTTTAGGACTTTTAAGTCGAACCCTGCACACTGTGAACGCATTGTTTGGTGGGATTCTTAACTGGAATGTGGGTTGAGCGACATGCTAGTT